TACTGGGTCTGCTATCATTCACTCGCTCATACGAGTAAGCCGCCCACATTTGGCTCAGATTTTTAGCTATAATTTCTAATTATTGTTCAGGCCTTCTGCCGCCCAGGTCCGGTTGAGGTGACCGCCCATTGTTTCATATCGTACTTAGTGGAATTCTATTCGGATGTTAATTGTTTGGATATTTGGCTGATAGCACCGAGACTACCGTACTATATTGTAATCTCCTGTTCACGGGAATCAACTATTAATATATTTTCTACTTATTTTGTTATTGTTACGAAATCTCTCGTATTCTTTTATTCATGTGCGAAACCTTCCCGCGTGTATGTATTCACAGGACCAGCCCCTCTACCATTTCCGTAGGCTGAGTAGCCAGAGTATCGCGGAGGATTTTCCGGCGGTTTTGTAACATCGTCCAGATGTCTGGCGCCCAGTTTCCGTGACTTTTCACGATTTTCAGGATATCTCTATTCTAACGATTTGCTTACCGGACACCGTACGTGATCCTTCGGTCAATTGTGAACCTTGTTGCTATTATTTATCGGATTTATCGCCAAACAATCATCGGTGACAATCCATATAAAACCCGTCGCTGTTACTTCTTTCCCTCCTTAATCTTTCCACATTTGTTTTCCTCCCCCTCTTTGCAATCTCATCGTCCGTTTTTCTTTTCTCTTCTCCGCCACCTTCCATCCTTGCTTTTCCTTATTCTCCCCCTCACCTCTCTTCTGTTCCCGCTTTCAGCCCCTCTCCGCTCTCTCTTTTTCTTGTACGTCACCCGTTCCTCTCTACTCTATCACTACCTTGTTCGGCCCGTGCTCCTATCTAGCTCTCACTACCCTTCTCCCACTCAGGCTCGCCTTCCTTCATTACCTACCGTACCTCTCACGCTTCCCACTACTGTTCCCCGTCCGCTGCTACCACCTCTCACTCTCACCAACGAACTTCCCTGTCCGCCGTCTATTTCTTCCCCTCTCTACTCCGCTTCCTCCTCGCCGTCCTTTTCTTCCTAACCTCTCTCCTGTATGCTTTCCTCCTTCGTCTTTCAGTTTTCTCCCGCATCACTCCTCACCGTTTTCACTGCCCTGCTTACCTCTACCCTCGCCCCTTCGCCCCACTCTTTTTTTCCCTATATCTCGCCCTTTTAACTCCGTTTATCCTCCTCAATCACACTCTTACTTTCTCACCTGCCACTCTCTATTCACAACGGAAACGGAAGTCTTGTGATCTTTTCTATTTATTGTGCTACTTTTTTTCTGTATTCGCGTATTGAGCTTGTGTTGTCTTTTTTTCGGGTTCATACGGATTTGTAAATTCCGTTTAAGTGACTCTTTCGTATTACTACTGTCGATCGCGGTTATAATTTCGCGCGTGCGAGAATTGGAACCGCGCAGTTCGTTCCGCTGCCGTTCCTCTGCCGTTCCTTGCGTTGCGATTTTTGTCAGTGTCGCGATTTTGTTATTTTATTCCAAAACGAATTTGTTAGTTTATTTTAAGTTATTTGATTATTCTGACCGTATTATTTGCCGTGGATATCGTTTCTAGAAGTATCGAGTTCGTGGCGCCCTCGGCCGTGATTTTCCGATAAACAGGATGCGTCTATAATTTTCGAAATTCTATTTGGTGATTCTTACTTGTTTTGCATTGTATAGCTTCCGATTTTGGATACCGATTATTGTGAATTAAATTTAAGACTTTTGTGAAACTATGCTTGGCTTTCGCTTGCGTCTTCGGTAATGCCTGAATTCTTACTTTTGTAACTTTGCTATTGAGTTTATTGATTATTTGGAATTTTGTTCTGCTTCATACAACTCTGGTGCGTTAATTACTTAATTTTGGATGATTTTATTGTAGTATTTCTTATCGTTTTCCTATAAATCCTTGGCTGCTTTACCTCCTTCCTTACCTTCTGAACGCCCCGACGCTTCCGACAAGCTAGCCTCTGAAGCGGCTACCACTGAAGCTGCCACGGTACGTGGCATGTAACGTGGTCTAAGTTAATATTGTTTTTCGAGTTCCGGGTAACCTTTAGGTTTAGTTACGTTTTCTATTATTTTCTTGGCCGTGGTGCCCTTAGTTTAGTTACGTTTTGCGATACCCCTTTTTTGGCTTTGGGGCCCCTATCTGTTGCGTTGGCCGGGTGGCCCATAGGTTTCGTTCGCCTGGTGGCACATTTATTTTAGTTTGGCTGGTGGCATCTTTAGGTTTAGTATACCTGGTGGCAGTCGGTTACCCCGGATTACTTATCTTTCGCGATCTTTCCTGTATCGATAACGAGTCTAGAGCTCGTGGTGCTCCTTTGAGGGTACCTGGCGCTCAACCAAAATTTGGAGTTCGCCGAGACCACTTCCGCTCCCGATTTCCGTTTTGTAGACGACAATAAAAATATTGTCGCAGCACAAACCACAAACAGTGGATGGACTCAGGCGCTTCCTAGGCATGCTGAATTTCTATCAAAGATTCATCAAAGATGCGTCACGCATACAGGCACCACTGTACACATCCCTCAAGGAAAGTATGAAGAAGGACAAAAGGCCCATCCCGTGGACACAGACTGCCGATGGCTTCGATATGTGCAAACAAAGCCTGACAAATGTTGCACTACTTGCTCATCCTCGCAAGAAAGCACTCCTGGTAATCACTTCCGACGTTTCCGATGTAGCCATTGGAGCTGTCCTTGAACAATCTACTGGAAAAGTCTAGGAGCCACTAGGATTCTTCTCGCGAAAGCTACACTCAAACGAATTCAAGTATAGCGCGTATGACTGCGAACTCTTAGCAGCCTATGAGGGGGTGAAATACTTTAAGCATATGGTTGAAGGACAGAACCTCTGCATAAGGACTGATCACAAGCCTCTAACGTACGCGTTTCATCAGAAGTCGGACAAGGCGACACCCCGTCAATATAGACACCTGGACTACGTCGGACAATTGACTACAGACATCAGATTCATCACAGGTGAAACTAATATACCAGCAGATGCACTGTCAAGACTCGAAGACTTAACACTACCAGCCATTAACGACACAAAGGAACTGACAAGAGAACAACAAAAAGACGAAGAGCTGCAACGCTTACTGCAATCAACAACGGCACTGCAACTTCAGTCTCTGCGCATCGACGGATCCGATTCGACAGTATACTGTGACGTATCCCTAAGCTCGTCCATACGTTCCTGTACCATTACGCTAAAGAATATTCGATATGTGCCATAATCTCTCACACTCTAGCGGCAAGGCCACTAGCCTCCTAATCAGACAACGCTTCGTATGGCCTCACATAAAGAAGGATATCATGGCACGTGCTCGCACCTATCTTCCATACCAGCTGAACAAGGTGAACCGTCACACCCGCAACCAGGACACACATGTGGAGGTACCGGGAAAACAATTTTCACACGTACATCTGGACCTAGTGGGGCCCTTACCATCAACTAGAGGTTATAAATACTGTTTGACAATGGTTAACCGCTTCACTCGATGGCCGGAAGCCATTCCACTCAAAGAAGCAACAGCGGACAACGTTAGCAACGCCTTCTGTACACACTGGGTATTCCAATTTGGAGCTCCGGAAACCATCACCACGCTCCAAGAGACCCAATTAGAGTTCCAAGCTTTCACGGCCCTGATGAAACTATTGTATTAGGTTGCAAGCACACCAGATCTACAGCATACCACCCGCAGACAAACGGGATCCTGGAGCGTTGGCACCGTTCTCTGAAGGTTGCGCTAAGCTGCCACAATTGCGATTAGTGAACGGAAGCCTTGCCTATGGTCCTGCTCGGATTGAGAACTGCATTCAAAGAGAACTTGGAAGATCAACAGTAGAACTAGTTGATGGCACGGTCATCACGATTCCAGGAGAATTAGTATACCATGACCTGGACGCAATAACTCCACAGATCTACACAGAGAGATTCCGTAAACACATGGAGCGCGTCCGACCCACTCCTACAGCGCACCACAACGAAAAGAGCTTGTTCGCATACAAGGACGTCCAGACCTGCACACATGTCCTGCTGTGGACAGATGCTACCAAGAGACCGCTGGAGCCAGCCTACGAAGGACCTAATAAGGTCCTGAAATGTCTCAGCGACAGGGTCTTTCGGATACAAGTAGGTCAGTCTGCAATCAACGTTACCACGAAACGGTTCAAACCAGCCTATATTCTAAAAGAAGAAACGGCATCACCGATCTTACCACCGGCTTCACAGTCAGCACGTCAGCAACTGACTTCTCAACCACCACTGATGCGAGGCACCTGTACGCGAGATGAATCATCGGCTCCTCGATTCCTGACACGACCAAATGGACTACGCACGTATGAGCGCAAAGGCAGGACAAATATCGTGCCGTCCCGAGCACGTCACTAAAGGGGGAGTAGTGTAACGCCAACGGATGTCCACCATCCTCAGGACAGGAAGTACCAATAGCGCTTCAGCGGTAGCGTCTGTAAAGTTTCTTAGTGGTTTCTAGCAAGTGTAACACAACAGTCACGTTAATAAAGTACTGACTTATTATATTAGTAAATGCTGTGTGAAACACTCTGTTAAACCTGTCCACTGCAATCCCACACCAAGCTATTTTGTGGTGCTGCCTATGAGTGGGGATTTGTACTAAAAGATACTGTAGCGCGCACGGGCAAATTGTATGCGGCAAACCAGCATCATTTATTCCGAGTAACATTAATAACACGAACAACATTTTAAATAGAATTAATGATGGGAAACTGGTGTGTGTTGTTTATCTCGATATAGGTATATTACATTACATGCATGTACTTGGCCAGGTAAAAACAAAGAGTACTTTCCTTCAGAAAACGCGAGAAATACACTAATCGAACGTCTAGATTCAACTGGAAAAACTGTCGTTCGCTCCTTGAAAGATCGCTCGAGATAATACGAATTTAACGGCCAAATCTCTACAATGTTGTGACTTCTCCACGCGGCTTTGTCTGAAGTTGAATTTCTCGAAAAAAAAGGTCACTCATTGCAGGAAAAATCATCACTTCTTTCGGGAATATATATGTAAGAGAAACATCCTTAGTACTACTGAATTTAGCACTCGATTTTAGTCGATAAGTCAGATCTCCTAGGGTACTTGGCGTGAGAACGGTGATGTAAGCCACGAGGTGCGAGTGTGAAACCAGCCATTTAGTCATTAAGGCTTACTCGTGAAAGTCAGTCTAAAAACAAAGCTGTGATTAACAACATTGAATGTTGTGTCCTTGTTATTACAGGTAGGATTAAGAACTAGTATAAATTGTTATATTATATTTTGTTTAAAATAAAAAATACTTTGTTATTACAGAGAAACAATTCTATTCGTTATTCACGAACAACTTAGAAAAAATAGATAGATCATTATAAAACAACATTCTCGTTGGAATTCACAATGAACAAGATAAACAAATTGCAATTTACCTTCACGGTCCGGAACACAACAGATCTAAAAACGAATGTGCTGTGTATAACCTCAATTGGCACACCGGACGGCCACGTGTACGCGGTTCCAGATGAATATCAACCAGCAACACTTCACAAGGAAATTATAAAACTACCTGTATTTAATAATGTGAAGAATTCGCTGAAAAAAAGGCACCAAACAAGAAAGATATGGATCAATTTAACCGAAGAGTTAACCAACATTTACTTAGACGAAGGAGGAAATTTACAAATAGGCGAGTTTTACCTAGAAGAAATAGAAGATAAACCGCAAACTACTAATGTCGCAGAACAACCACTTATAAAAATGCTAGAAAAATTACTTGAAAAAAGCCAAAACCAATCGGAAATTAAAAACATAGGCAAAATAGCAAAACAATTTATAATTGACAAATTTAATGGGAAAAATTCAAACGCAGATCAGTGGATCACAAGCTTTGAAAAAGAATGTGAACGATTCGACATTTCTGACGACGATAAAAAGATTGAGATCCTAAAATCATTTATGGATAAAGGTGCCGCAGATTGATATAGTTGTACGCTATTGAAACTTACTATCGAAGCAGACTGGAGAGAGTGGAAAAGAACTTTTTGCGAAACATTTGTTAATAAAGGCTGGTCCCCAATAAGATATGCACTGTCATTTAAATACCAAACAGGCCTTTTGCTAGATTATGCGATAAAAAAAGAAAAACTTTTACTAGAAGTAAGAAAATCTATTGATAATGGAACACTAATTGATTTAATTGCAACTGGCCTACCAAACTTTGTAGCTGACAGGATCGACAGATAAAAATTAAGAAAGACGGAAGACTTGTATAGTGGAATAGGTAAATTGGAACATTTAGTTCACAAAAGAAATATGGTGTGACGTACACCGTTCATCTGTTACGTCCTATGCGTGAGCGACCGTATGCGGGAGCATCAGGGAGCTAGCGTAGGTGTTGAGATCAAAGATCACGTAAAAGGTATTAGGTTCTTGCCACTTTAAGGTGCTAAAGCACGCCAATTTGCGTTTATGTCCCTTGGTCGATAGTTAAGATGAGGATCACAAACAATTACTAAATAGATTGATTTGGAAAACTCACTCCTTCTACGGGAGTTTGGTTTAAGCTACTGGTAAAGGGTTTATCTGGATTTAGGAGCTAATAGGTTCAGGTCTCGAAATCAAGAGAAGAAAGTATAGTTTAACTCAATATAATAAATGATAGACAGAAATACAAGTAGCTGTCGCAGTTATATGCAGTAGTAAGTGTGAGCTAATCTACTAACTAAATGAAATCCGAATACAATGTATGTGTGATCGTCAACTTCTGTAGCGTGAGCTACAGAGATATATATATGTATAGATGTAAGAATGTGAGTTACTTACCGGTGGATGAGCAGAGGAAGAGAGAGAGACGGTGCTCGGTTCTCGACAATAGTGAAATAGGTTTGATTGAACGGGGAATTCTTGGTCCAGCCCTAAGGTGGATACTCGCCTAGACGAATGCTTACTGAAATTCCAAGAATTGAGTTCTTTTCGCGTGGACGCCCAGCACTGAAGTGATACACTTTTCGCTTGGGTCCTAAGGCAAGCTAGATCAGAATAGGCCCTAAGGTATTTGATCGGCACAACACTTAACTGGCGCGGACAATCGGCTCAAGACTCAAAAGGGATACTGCTCTACCGGGGGATTGATCAGTAACTGAGGATGATCTGCATTGGAGTTCGTAAGGAAGATTCTGGGTTTGGAGGGGATTAGATGCAATGTCAGGAAATTTCAGGGAATTTGGACATCAGAACGAATCTGAATTATCTATCGAGATATCTTCACCAATTAATAAATTGGGAATCCTCACCGGAGCTGGTGCAGCTAATCCGTGGAGGCCGAGAACTGTATCCAAAGGACACGCTGGTGAGCACGGCACTAAGGCACAGCACTACACCTCCGGAACACTCACAGGAATTCATAGAATTGCCTGGATATCGCGAGAACGACGCGAGAACTGTACGAATCGAGAACTGTACGAATCGAGAACTTGCTATACCGTAGCGAAACACGACAAGAAAAACTATCAACAGATAGCACGGGAGCACGAGCCAGCCGTGACACCTCGGTCGGTGCCCCGAGACAGACTGCTTTGACAATAGCCAAATCCGAGAACTAATCATCCTGATTGGTTGAAAGCCTTGTTGAATAATGATAAATACTACAACCTTAATCCCATAGTATTGTACACGGGTGCGCTATGCTCGACTCAGGTGCGCGCGACACACACACACTTGTACATATAGGCCTCCCCACTACGGCATCTCACGTGATCCGTTCACTAGCAGCAGCGGCCCACTCATTGTACTCTCTCTTACTTAGCTTGTCTAGTTGATCGTTTTACTGAACGGACATGAGATCCGCCAACTTGCCAATACATTTGTGACTAACATTATATATCCTATCAATACATTATTAAACTCTTATCATTATTATACATTAAACTCCCAACCACCACCCTCATCAACAAGCCTTATAACCGATAACTCTTCTATCTCCTTCAAGTCGTCCCTTTAAACCAAATCGAGAGCGTTCCTTAACGAATCGGTATGTAATTTTTGGAGATCCTCCACGGCCGCTTCCCCAGGGCATCGGGCGACCGCTGGGCACCACATCCTTAACTCGGGCAGGAGGTTCCTCTCCTGCTATTAACCGTATTAAAACTACCTCCACCCGCTCTACAGCCCTTTGCCCATCTCCAGCGGGGCGCCGGTATCTCACCCGGGCTTCTGCCGCTCCGTGGAGACGTCTCCGTCGGGTACTCTCCTCTGCCGGGCAACTCGGTACGTCGAGACTATCTCCCGACGGCAGATTCGAGCACCTCGACCTCAACTGATCAATGACAAAATCTTACGAGAGCCTTGACGTAACTGTACGAATCAACCTGAGAGCGTAGCTTCAGAGCAGGGTGGCGACCTGAAGAGAAACAGAAATCGAGAACGTCATCTGTATCGGTAACCGGAGCCGCCTTGGGACCGTGATTCGAAAAATCACGTCACAGTATATATATGTAATCTATGATTTACAATAATTAACCCATGTTCGTCGAGGATCGGTTACATCTGTCGTGGTCTCTGACCTTTGGTAATGGGGTACTGAGGGGTGCTGAAGGGGGGGGGGCAATGGGGTTGCGTTGCGTCGGACATAACACATCGGCGTCGCCTACAAATTATCCGTGGCTGTTCCCAACGTGCTGTAATCAAGGAAAAGATCCGAAGATTTAATTGTTGGGTGCCAGGTGCTTTCCCGCACCACCATCCTTCACCACGGCCGTTTTCAGGTTTCCCGGCGGCTTAGCCTCAGCGCACTGAAAATGGTAGAGGGGAACATGGGGGCGACGAGAGAGAATTTCGGAGTCAACGGATAGGCGCGCAAAATGATAAAACAGCGAGTAGGATACCATTCCGTTTATTACCATCAAATAAACGGCGGATTTTACAATACAAATCCCGTCGCGTACAGTGTGTTCTCCAACGGCGGCTCACGATTATTCCGAGTCGTGATTTCTAGCCTGCCCCAGACCTGTCCCTATTTCGGTGTCCCTACCGAATACGCGAATTCCCTCACGGCGCGATTCGCGATCCTAACAGGTCTCGTTGGAGACGAGCGTTTCTTTCCTCGTGAGTGTGCCCTCTGACGTCGGTAGCCACCTGAGGCATCCGTGTGTCGGCACCACTCCCACTCGGCTATCTTCTCGCGCAAGATATTCTCTAAATAAGACCGCCCTTGCGGTAGTTACCGACAACCGGCTGTCCCATCAGTCCCGTACAAAATCCAAATCGTGGTGGCCGTGTCCCTTCCGCCTATCCCCGTGGTGCCGCATCCCGGCTCCACGAGGGTGTACATCAAACACTCGGAATACAACACACACTCGGCTACGCACTGGCACTAGACCATAAAAAAAAAACCCGGGAGCCATGGTTCTCTGCGAGAGATCCCGATAATCGCATTCCGCGATTATCCGATAGCTCCGCTATCGCCCGAGCATGGAAGAAGGACTTCTTTTTCGTGGTCCGCCGGACACCCGAGTCCTCACACGCGGACTCCCCGCGACACACTCTTCCTACCTACCGCTCTCCGCGGTAGGTCAAAAATCAAAACAAATCTCCTCTCCGGCGCCCTCCCCGCGGACCCGCAAACCGTAGCCGATCAAAATTCCCGGGGTACCGGCAGTGCGTCCTGGCGGTTGAGCACCCTTTGCGTGCGGGCTCTCAACCCAAAAGGGCTCCGTGCCTCCGCCGCCAGTCCACTACTTTTCCCCGTTCCCTCCTCCCAACCACGGACCTACGAACTCTTTGGAGATGGAGGCTGGAGTCACTGCCGTGCTGTCGGCAGCGCGCGGAGGTGCGAGGCTTCTGTAATGTGTCGTCCTGACGCCACGTTACAATGGAAATGAAAAAGAATAAGAATTACATTAATAAAGAGAAAATAGAAAAAATACCATGCGGAACTTGTAAAAATAAAGGCAAAGGTATACGCTTCCACCCTGCAGCAGAATGCTGGTTTAAAGATAAAGAACACGAAATAAGACATATTAATAATTCAGTATTGGAAGTAGAACTAAGTGATGAGGATCCAAAAAACTAATAATCCCACCATTAATTAGCCTTACAATAACATTAAACAACACTTTAGAGGCATCCGCTATTCATGATTCAGGCTCGAATGTCTCGCTAATAAATTCAAAACTAGTTCATTTAAAACAAAAACGAATTAATTTGAAGCAAAAAGTGAATTTAAGAACAATTAATGATGTGTATAAATCAGAAGAATTTATAAAAATCAAAGCAAAAATATTGAATATAGAAGAAGACATATACGTATTCATAATTAATAATGAAAACTTCAACTATGACTTTCTAATAGGATTAGATTGCATACAAAAATTCAAGTTAATACAAAATGAGAAATTAAAGATAGAACAAAGAAACTCTCATCTCACAGAAAAACAAGAATATCGAATAAATTTCAATGAACATGTAGATTTAGACAACTTTAAAGTCTTAACAAATCACTTGAGTCATTATGAAGAAGATATAATAAAAAATCTCGTAGACAAATATAAAAATATATTTGCGAAAGACAAGTATGATATAGGCTTAGTAAAAGATTACGAAGCCAGAATAGATCTCATAGTACATAAATACTGCAGTAAGAGACCTTACCGATGCACAATTGAAGACAAAAAAGAGATAGAGGAACAAATCTCAGAATTACTTAAAAGAAAGCTAATAGAAGAATCATATAGTCCTTACGCTGCTCCAGTTACGTTAGCATATAAAAGAGATGAAAATAAAAAATCAAGACTATGCATAGATTTTAGAGACTTGAATAAAATAATAGTCCCTCAATCGCAACCATTTCTATTAATTGAAGATTTAGTAATAAAAACAAGGAACTGTAAATATTTCTCAAAATTGGACATAAACTCAGCGTTTTGGTCTATTCCTCTTCGAATCGAAGATAGAACAAAAACAGGATTTGTAACCCAAGAGGGCCACTTCCAATGGACGTGTCTTCCATTCGGATTGAAGACGTCGCCGGCCATTTTTCAAAGGATATTAAGCAACATAATAAGAAA